TGTGCTCAGTCAGGAGCCCTATGCAGAAGAATCTAGTTAAAGTGGAACTGTAACCCTGTGAGAAACTGCCGCAATTCACTCATAAATTCCACAAGCATTTATTGAGCTCCTACTGTTTGCCAGGCCCCGGGCCAGGCATGGAGACACAGCAGTAAATACAACAGGTAAATGGAACCGCAATACCAGTGTCATACATAAGGAATTATTAATGTCTTTTTAAATATATGGGATCACCTATGAATTACATTTTCTAAATGGACTGTTGCCAGCATGCTGTAATTCTACCGGCTGTGGTACACCAGAGGTGCAGGCAGCTCTGGCTGAACCCTTACTAGGAATGTTCACATGGTCTGCAATTTTGGACGTTCTGGCTAGACAGTCCCCTGAGAGGTGGGTAGGGTGGTAGATTGCTCTGGAAGAAGGCCGGCCTCTCCACACCCTCCAGGCCCATCTCCCCTCAGGCTGCAGCCGTCCTCCTCACCCCCTGCCTTCTGCAGACCTTCCACACCAGGCCTCTCCCTTCCCACCCTCCCTGGCCTGTCCCACTCCTTGCCCTGCCCAGGACTTTCCTTTCACAACTCCCTAGGTGTGTGTCCTCTCTAGATAGGTTGGTGCTTTGATATTTAAAGACTCTTAGTTTGTTGTAGAGCCTAGAAAACTGGCCCTAGGCAGAACTTTTTTTTTAAAATTATTATTATTTTTTTGGCTGCATTAGGTCTTTGTTGCTGTGTGTGGGCTTCCTCCACTTGTGGTGAGGGGGGGCTACTCTTTGTTGCGGTGCACAGGCTTCTCATTGCAGTGGCTTCTCTTGTTGCGGAGCATGGGCTCTAGGTGCACGGGCTTCAGTAGTTGTGGCATGTGGGCTCAGTAGTTGTGGCGCATGGGTTTAGTTGCTCCGCGGCATGTGGGATCTTCCAGGACCAGGGCTCGAAGCTGTGTCCCCGGCATTGGCAGGCAGATTCTTAACCACTGCGCCACCAGGGAAGCCCCGGAATTTCTTCTTTAGAGCAAAGAAATTTTGTGGGTTTTTGGCTCTTTTCTGCTCTTGACCCCCTAGAGGTTGGGTTGGGTGGGGAGCTGAGAAGGTTTTACCTGAAATCCCATCTCCCCACCCACATCCTCCCTAATCCAGGAGAGAAGAGCCTTCAGGGGCTGAATCACCTTGAGGAAGGAACTTGAACCTGACACCCAGGGCTGGACGCACTCAACCCTAAGCTAGGGAGCTGGGCTGTCTTCAAATCCCTCCCACCGTTCTGAAAGAGATTTTCTTAACTACTTACCTCCTTCCTCCTAAGATCCCTCAGACCCTCCATCCACACAAAAGGCCCATCCCCAGTCCAGTTCTTTTCCTGGAATCAAAATACCCCTAGGCTTGCTACTCCACTCCTGTTAACAGGATAGGAGAACCAGGGGCAGGGAAGCAAAGTTGGTGGAACTTCTGATATCCTTGGGATATTCGTGCAACCTGCCTCCAGTGCTCTGAGGTTCAGGAATTTTCTACTTCTGCAAACCAGGCTGGCAGGTTTTCCCCCAACTTCCTAACCACTCCTCCTCCAGCAGAGAGAGGCACCTACATCCCCACTCAGCACTTTCCTGCCCATCCTTGTTGCTTCACTCGGTCAGAGCCAACCACAACCTTCCTCCATTTATGGCGAAGAATTTCTCATTCAGCCTTTACCACCTTGAAATGAAATACTTGATGAAACCTATCTCCACAGAGAAATCTTTAAATGTTAATAAAAGTTCCCAAATATATATGTATAGTGTAAAGGTGAAATAAAAGGAGAGAAATTTATAAGTAAAAGAATACATATTTCGGGCTTCCCTGGTGGCGCAGTGGTTGAGAGTCCGCCTGCCCATGCAGGGGACACAGGTTCGTGCCCCGGTCCGGGAAGATCCCACATGCCGTGGAGTGGCTGCGCCCGTGAGCCATGGCCGCTGAGCCTGTGTGTCCGGAGCCTGTGCTCCGCAACGGGAGAGGCCACAAAAGTGAGAGGTCCGCGCACAGCAAAAAAAAAAAAAAAAAAAAGAATACATATTTCAATATGCAAGTGATACTCGAGCTTGCTCCCAATAAGATCCAGCTAGTGTGTGGTCCGTGGAGGGCAGCCATCAACATCCCTTGGGAATTTGTTACAAATGCAGATCTGATTCAGAGTTGGATTTTAAAACTTCCCCAGTGTATCTGAAAAATCCCCAGAACTCTCTGTGGATCCCTAAAGCTCCATAAAACCCACAGCTGGCACTGCCTAGATGAAGAGATTTTGCAGTTTCCTGAACTGAATCGTAACAACTAGTAAAGTGCCAACAAAGCCGAGGAAACTCTTCCAATTGACTCAGAAGTTGCGTTCTTGGACCATTCAGTGTCTATTAACACTCTTTACATTTACAGGCCAACTAATTTGGGTTCTAGGCTCAGATTAACAGGATTTCCTCCTACATAAAACACACAGGACATTGGCTAGGAGGAGGAATCCACGATAGTTCTCCCCTGGGTGGTACTGTCCTGTACACAGCTTCCCAATAACACTCTCATTACTGTGACACCAAAATGCACCCACAACTTCCCCAAAAGGTCCCTGGGGTGCCTTGTACACCCTCATCTCCCGGGAGCCATTATTCTCTAATCCTTTTCTTCTAGGCAGTAAGCCCTTGGAACAGAATTATATTTTTCTTTTATTTTTTAAAAATTTATTTATTTATTTATTTTTGGCCGTGTTGGGTCTTCGTTGCTGTGTGTGGGCTTTCTCTAGTTGCGGCGAGCAGGGGCTACTCTTTGTTGTGGTGTGCGGGCTTCTCATTGCAGTGCCTTCTCTTGTTGTGGAGCACGGGCTCTAGGAGCGCGGGCTTCAGCAGTTGTGGCACACGGGCTCAATAGTTATGGCTCGGGGGCTCTAGAGCGCAGGGTCAGTAGTTGTGGCACATGGACTTAGTTGCTCTGCGGCATGTGGGTTCTTCCTGGATCAGGGCTCGAACCCATGTCCTGTGCACTGGCAGGCGGATTCTTAATCATTGCGCCACCCTGGAAGTCCCTATTTTTCTTTTTAACTGGAGTACACCATGGGGTGTAACTCCAGGAATTAATGGAGATTGTGTCTGAGGAGGAAATTGAAGAATGGAAACTGACTTGTCAGTCTCTGCTCTTTTATCTTACTTGAAGTTTTCAAACTTTTTTATTTTAACCACTTTTTGAAATCCTGATTGAGTCATAATCAATTTTCATAATCTCATTATCAAACGGATTCCCCCAGTTTACAAATTACATTAAAATAATGTATTGCTATGGGCAGAAGGGTGTGGTTTCTAAGATTTGCTTTAAATTGCCTGGGGGAGCAAGTGGGTGGGAGTAGAGATGAAACCAGATTGGTCAGCAGTTAACTGCTGGAGCTCCTTACACTATTCCACTTTGGGATATGTTGGAAAACCTCAACGGTAAAAATTGTACTGACAGTGTATGTATCGAAAAGAAATTTGGGCCATGTAATAGTCAATCCATCTCTCAGAATTCAGGATCTCCCCACCCAGACTACTTATGGCCCTTTTCCCCTTGCCTGCTCTGTTTCCCAGAGCACTGATCACCTTCTAACACACTACACAATTTCCATGTCACGTCTACTGCTCATCATGGCCCATGTGAATTACAGTCTGATTTAATACTTACTCCATAGAAAAACTGTTTGCATCTTCTCTGCATTTTTGAAGAGGATGTTGGGGGTTGGCAGGAGATTTTATTTTTAATGATTTCCTAACAGTATCTAATTTGCTTAATCTGTCTCCTGTTCACCATGTCTCTCTCCCTTAGAAAGTAAGTTCCACGTGGGCAAAAATCAATGATGGTTTTACTTGCTGATATTGGAAATTGTGTGTAGCTCCCCTTTTATTTTTCTTGGACAGAGTTGGTATAGAGGTTAAAAGCAAGAATTCTAGAGCTACCCAGGCTAGGTTCAAATCCGAGCTCTGTCACCTACTAGCTGTTTGATTTGGGCAGGTCACTTGGCCTCAGTTTTCTCACCTGGGAAGTGGGGACATAGCCATACGTATCTCAGGGGGTTGCTACCCTGACTGGTAGTAAGAGGCTCCATGAAGTTTGGCTGGGGTTATTACTGGCTACAGCACTCTTTTAGGGAGTCAGATAGAAATGCATTTGGCTCCTGCTGGAGCCTGTTTTCTCCTGTGCAATGGTCTCCAAGCTAGTGATGCTGGATCCTTAAAGGTGATGAGAATTTTATACGACCTAATGAATACAAAGCCTCCTGCCCAGGTGTCTGACCCAAATAGCAGCAGTTGTTCAGCACCAAGGGCCTTACAGCCTGGTTAGGGACACTCCAAGGGGCCACTGGTCCGGACGAAGAGCGACAGACTCTGAATCCTGGCAGCCCCTACTCTGGGAGATTTGGTTGGGCAGTTCCACCTCAGTCCAAATACGGCCTGAGGGAGGCGGGTGTCTGGAGAATACAGGAGGTGGGGACAGGAGGGGCTGGCTAGTAAGTCGGGGCAAGGCAGAGGGAGGAGGGGGCATGACAGACAGTAAGAAAGGAGGGGTGGGCAGAGACTGTGGAGTCAGAAAGAGCATGGGGCAGGGGAGGTGGCTGGCAGTGGTGTTGGGTATTAAGAAGGGAGGGGCGGGCAAATAAAAAGGGCAGAGGTAGAGATGGGGGCCCATGAAGCTCCATGAAGGCTTGCCTGTGAGGAGCTCTGGCTGAGATGCAGGGTAGGACTCGGGCGTCTGCAAGGTCGCAGAGGAGGTTGGCTGCCGGGGGCTGTGATGCAAATGGTAGAGAGGGGCTTAAATCGCCTGCTGGCAAGGACGGGTTGGGAGTTTGGGGCCTTGAGGATGGGGCTGGGGGTGGTGAGGTTGGGGAGGAAGCTGAGGGGGCTTAGGGGGTGACAGTCTTGGAGTGTGGCTGGCAGGGGCGGGGCTGGTAGAGGCTGCAGGTCCCTGACACCCTGAAGTATGACACTGGCTCTCCTGCGTTGCAGCTGGGCTTGGTGAGAAGACCATGGACAACTCGACTTCTGGGGGCCTGCCCGCCCGAGTCCCCGCTGGGGAGCCCGAAACCGAGGAGCCGCTGGGTCTGGGCCAGCTGCCCACGGAGCTGCTCGAGATGGTGCTGAGCCACGTGCCCCCTCACGTGCTGCTCGGGCGCTGCCGCCGGGTGTGCTGGCGCTGGCGCGACCTGGTGGACTGCCAGGCCCTGTGGCTGAGCATCTTGGCCCGGAAACACGCTGCCCTGTGGCCCATCGTCAGCACCTGCCTGCCGGCCGCCGACGACCCCAGGCCCTGCGTCCTGGGCCGCTTCTGCGAGCGCCGACCCATAGGACGCAACCTCCTCCAGAACCCCAGGGGCGAAGGTGGGGAGCCCAGGAAAGGGGTCCTCATGGGAGCCGGTGGGTGGGTCTGGAGTGGTGTGGCCTCATGGGAAACACATGGGTTCTCTCCGTGGGCTGGCGGGCTGGCGAGGAACTTGGTCACAAAGCTTTTTTATTTAACAGAAGTCCTCCAGAAATTGATGGTTGTGCACAGTTGTGGTGCCCTGGCTATGGAGGAAAACGTGGAGGCCATGCCTAGGGCCCCTTTGCAGATCTGCTTCCAGTCTGCCTACAGGTGAATGTCGCTCTTCCACAAGGGCCAGGGTTGTGGTGAGTACTTGCCTGTTCTCTTGACCTTTCTCCCTCTTTTCTAGGTGGTGTCAGAAAAAGAAGCAAGTGTTGGACCTGGAGAAGGAGAGATTTTGGCCAGAACTCCTGGATAGTGGAAAGATCGAGATTTGTGTCTCTGACTGGTGAGTGTGATGATAAAACAGCCCTTTTGCTGAGCGCTGATGTTGGCATGGGTGACCTCATTTAGGCCTCCTAACAACCCCTTAGGATAAAGCAGGTAGGGAAATGACTTCACCACCATCAGAGCTTTAGTACCCAGCAGAGTGCACGCCCTGAACCCTCTCCTAACCTGCAAAGGGAACTGGATTGGAAGATGCCAAGTTGGATCCTATACAGAGGACTTGGGTCCAACTCTGTAAATGAGATGCCTCTTGGTTTAGGAGGAGGCAAGTTAGGAGAGTTTGGCTAAGAGGTCAGATTCTGGAGCCAGAACCTCCCAAGTTCAAACCCTGGCTTCCCAGCTTTGAGGCCTTGGGCAAGTCACAGTGTGCCTTAGTTTCCCTATCTTTGTAAGATTGGGTTATATGTCAGGTACCTAGCCAGTGCTCTGAAGTGTGAGCTGTTTCAGCACCCTTCATGATCCTTGATCCTGTGGGAAAGTGTTTTGAAACATCAAATTGCAAAGTTCAGAAAGGGGAGGTGACTTCCCCTGGTGGCACAGCTAGGGCTTGGCAGGACCTGGCATGACACTCATACTTGTCAGACTCCAGAGCTTGTGCTCTGTAGTGATGGTCTTGAAACTGGGGTCCATGAAGACTTTCCAAGGGATACCTGACCCGGATAATTTTAAATTCTCTAGTCTTTTATGTTCCCTGTTCTCAAATTAATCAGTTACAGGTCACATCTATGGTGGAAGTATCTCTGGTTACTCTTCCCAATTGCTATCTCATAATGCTCCAGTTTTACAGAAAAACAAAGCCCCTCACTGTGTTGTGTGGTTCCCAGAGGGAAAGACTACTTGAGAGACAGGCAAACTGACCATTTGAAAGTTTGACCTTACCAAATTAACTTTTTTTTTTTCTAATGGTACATTCTCTGCCCAACCTGATAATGAGGGGTGAGGAATTTGGGTGAGGTGCTTGTTTATTTACTTATTTATTAAATATTTATTTATTTGGCTGTGCCAGGTCTTAGTTGCCGCACACGGAATCTTCGTTGCTGCGTGCAGGATCTTTAGTTGTGGCATCCAGGGTCTAGTTCCCTGACCAGGGATTAAACCCGGGCCCCCTGCATTGGGAGTGTAGCGTCTTGACCACTGGACCACCAGGGAAGTCCTTATTTTTTTTTTTTTTTAATTTTTTGGCCACTCCACGTCAAAACATAAACATCCTAGCTCCTTGACCAGGTATGGAACCCGTGCCCGCTGCAGTGGAAGCATGGAGTCCTAACCACTGGACCGCCAGGGAAGTCTCCCAAATTTACTTTCCATCGAGGCACCATAAACTGCCACCTCTGCAAATCCATCTCATTAGAAGATGTATTTACAATCAACTTGTTTTTAACTTAATCCTTTATCAAACTATTGTAGCATGTTTGTGTGGCTTTGAGCAATGGTGTACCAGTTGATTGTAATAATCATTGACTCCCCAGTTTTGTCGTACATCACCCAGAAATATTTAAAACTCCCAATGCCTGGATCGCACTCCATACCAATTAGATAGGAGTATCTAAAATGAGAGCGCCAGGCATCAACATCTGTGAGAAGTTTAGAGCCAACTACAAAGTTAATGACCACCACAATGTCAAGACCACCTTCCAACTGCCAGATAGGGGCATTCCCAAAGCCACCCTTAGGCTCAGTAATTGGCTAGGAAGACATAGAACTGAATGAAAACTCTTATACAATTAGTTTATTACAGGGAAAAGGTACAGATTAAAATTAGCCAAGGGGAAGATAACAGGGCAGCACCCAGGGGAAGTATCCAACACCAGACTTCCATTGCCCTCTCTCTCCCTGTGGAGTCAGGACACCTGACTCTGCTGGCCTCCATGGGTGACAGTACGCATGGAATATTGCCAGCCAGGGAAGCTCACCTGAGTTTATAGGGGCTTTGTTATATGTTTCACCTCAGCCTCCAGGTCAACTGATTGCGTGAGGCATCCTAAGTCACATTGTCTTCCTGGAGTGGCTAGCCCCCATTATAGACTATCTGTGTGGACGTGGCCAGCTCCCACCAAATCACATTGGCAGGCTGTCCACTATGACCCAAGGTCCCCAGGCAAACAAGGTTAGTCCTGTCACACATAACATCCCAAGGGTCCAGGGATTACATCCCAGAAGCAGAAAGCAAAGACCATACATTTGGACAAGCCTATGGGAGGACGTACCTTGAAGTGCACGGCTCTAGGTCATTATTTCTGAAATAAATGTGCATGCAGACAAGCTGGGGAGCTTGTGTTTAGTGCAGATGGATTCATTGCGTATACGCAGGTCCAAGCTGCCAAGTGACACTGATGGTGCTTGTCCTGGGGACCACATTTTAGATTTGCATACATGCACAGGCCATTCAGGTGAAGCAGGCAGACATCCAAAGAGTTGGAGTGACAAGTCCAGCCTTCAAGCTCTGTCTTCTCCCATAGGTGGACCGGCCGACAAGGCACTGACAATATATATCATCTAATTATCCAACTTCTAGATGCCAACTAGTCCGTCCTGGATCATTTCTCTTCTGTACCTATGCCCGTTCGGCAGTGGAGAAATAGCATCTCCTTTGAGGTGAGTCTCTGAGAGGGGTGAGGGGAAAGGATGGTGGAGCCTATGATGAGCTATTGTTGCATAAAAAATTGCCCCAAAATTTAGTGGCTTGATATGAACAGCAGTCATTTTCTCACCTCTCATGGTTTCTACGAGTAGGGCTCTGCTGGGAGTTTCTGGCCCTGGTCTCTCATGTGGTTGCATTAGACACTGGCTGGAGCTGAAGGGCAGGGCGGGGTGTGAGTGTGTATAAAGCAGCTGGTGGCTGGCCAAGCAGCTCTTGGTTTAGTCTCAGAGCTTGGCCTTGGGATCTCTCTGCTTGGTCTAGTTTGGGCTTCCTCACAGCATGGTGGCTTCAGGGCAGTCAGACTGCTTCTTGGTGGCTCAGGGTTCCACCATGAGGCTTCTGGAGAAACCAACAGAAGCTGCATTGCCTTTCTGACCCAGCCTTGGAAGTCACTTAGCAAAAGTCACTCAGCATCACTTCCACCACACTCTTGGTTACAAGGAGACCCCTCCAGACTCAAGGGGATGGGAAGTAGACTCCACCCCTGGAAGAGGAGTGTCATGATTCTAGAAGTACATGTGGAACTAGAAGTACCTGTGGAGACATTGTCGCAGCCATCTATGGAAAATACCACCTGTCAGAAGGCCCCCAACTCAGTGTTTGAAGGCACAATGAGACTTACCTCTTTTCCTTCCTACAGGTCAACCATGTGTTCTCCAACTTCAAGAAGGGCGTCCGCTTTGTGTCTTGTGAACACTGGGTCCAGGACATGGAGTTCTTTTCTGAACATTATGGAGTCTATCTGCCCAACTCCAGTGTGATTGTGCAGGTCCGTCTGTCCTAGTCGTGGACTGTCCTTGCAAAACTACCTGACCGTGCCTTCCAGGAGCTGGGCCCATTGTCTGGGCCATCTCAATAATCAATGGCTTGTAGCTCCCTGGCATCCTGGGATCTCCTGGGTCCAGTCGAGGGTCTAGATTCTTCTGCATGGGGCTGCAGAGTGGTGACAGTTATGGGCCATGTCAGGAAATTGTTGTCCACCTCTGGAACAAATGTGACTGCCCACAGAAAATTCAGGAAGAAACTGAGCTTCTGATAGAAGGCAAGTGACTTGCCCAGCTCAGAGGGGTCTGAATGCCAGGACTGCGCCACCCCTTGGAGAGGTTGGTGTTAGTGGAGATGCGGTTGCCATTTCCCTAGAGAAGTAGACTTCTGATGTCTCTGCATGGGATGGGGAGGTCAAGGGCTATGAGGATTCGCCTTGGATGACGGCCAACCTTTCTTGACCCTTTCACCCAGGGAACATAGTGATAATAGCATCAGTAATAACAGTGCCCTCTCCCATCCCAGGCACTTTGCTGCTCATCTTAGGAGCACTATTTCATCAACTCTTCTCAATTCCCCCTTGATGTAGGCCTTGCTACCATCCCAGTTTACAAAATGAGAAAAAAAGCTTGGGGAGGGCAGCAGCCTGCCGAAAGTCACACAGCTGGACCCCGGTCCACAGGGAGGAGGCTCCTGAGTCTGCCTCTAACCTGCTGTGCGGGGCATCTGAGCAGGGCAGTGACGGGAGGGAACCAGTCTCAGCCAGGAGCTGGCTCTCGGGGGCAGGTGGAGGCAGGTGCCCTGAGCCCCAGGTCCTTCTCCACCAGCAGTCCCTGAACTTGGCATGGAGCCTAGAGGAACCGTTGGCATCAGTTCTGAAGCCGAGACTGCCAGGTCTCAAACCTTAGCTGGGCCAAACCAAACACTCCATATCTGCCCCCTCCCTCCAATGCCACTCCCCACCCTCAGCCACCGTCCTGGGAAGGCATACGCTTTGGCTTACGTCCACCTTTTTCTCCATATGTCCCACAATTATTATATAGCATTTTTTTAATGTGTTCTTAAGTTTTATGGAAATGATATATTGTAGTCACCAACCCACAGCTTCATGTTTGCCCTGAGGATGTGCTTTTGGATTAGTCCATATTGTTACCTGGAGCTCTTGTCCTCTTGTGTGTCAGTACTTAACTCTTCTTTAATGCTCTTCAATAAAGTTTTATAAATTTTTTCATAAAATATTGCATATCTTTTGCTGGATTTATTCTGAGCCACCTTAAGATTTTGTAAATCAAATTTTTAAAAAATTTTAATAAAAAATATTCTTAAATTGTAAAATGTCAAATTTAACCACCTTAACCATTTTTGAGTTTAATAATGTTAAGTACATTCACATTGTTGTGTAACCCATCTCCAGAACTCTTTTCACCTTGTACAGTGGAAACTCTGGACCCATTAATCAATAACTCTGCATTCCCTCCACCTCAACCCCCAGCAACCACCATTCTACCTGGTCTCAATGAATTCCCCTATTCTAGGAACCTCCTATAGGTGGAATCATACCATTTTGGTCTTTTTGTGCCTGGCTTATTTCTCTTAGCATAATGTCCTCAAAGTCCATGTTGCAGCATGTATCAGAATTTCTTTCCTTTCTGAGGCTGAATAATATTCCACTGTGTCTAAACACCACATTCTATTTATTCAGTTATCTGTTAAGGGACACGTGGGTTACTTCCACCTATGGCTGTTGTGAATATTTATGTGAATATGGGTGTAAAAATATCTCTTCAAGACTCTGCTTTCAATTCTTTTGGGTATTTATCCAGAAGTGGGATTGCTGGATCATTTATGGAATTTAAATTTTTTTAACTTTGAAACAAGCTCACTTTTTTATGTTCGTGTTTTACGTTTTTATTGAAGTATAATGTGCACACAGAAAAGTGTAACCCGAGCCCATCTATAAACAGCCACTGACTGAGAAATCAGACACGGCCTCTTGCGCCTTCAGGGTAACTGCTGTCCTGACTTTTAGCGTCACTGATGGCATCTTTCCTGAGGTATATTAAACAGAATCACATGGCACTTGCTCCTTTGCATTGGTTTATTTCCCTTAACCTTAGGCTTCTAAAGTCCATCCATGTTTTTGCAAGTGGCTGTAGCTTGTTTCTTCTCTTTGCTGAATACTCTTGATTTATTCATCTGCCCTGGGTGGACATTGGTTCGTTTCTGGTTTGAGTCTCTGATCAATAAAGCTGCAGTGAACATTCTAGTACCTATCTTTTTTTTAAAAATTTATTTATTTTTGGCTGCTTTAGGTCTTGCTTTGGCAGGCTTTCTCTAGTTGTGGCGAGCGGGGTCTACTCTTCATTGCGGTGCTCGGGCTTCTCATTGCAGTGGCTTCTCTTGTTGCGGAGCACGGGCTCTAGGCGCACGGGCTTCAGTAGTTGTGGCACACAGGCTCAATAGTTGTGGCTTGAGGGCTCTAGAGCACAGGCTCAGTAGTTGTGGCACACGGGCTTAGTTGCTCTGCGGCATGTGCGATCTTCCCCAACTAAGGATCAAACCCGTGTCCCCTGCATTGGCAGGTGGATTCTTAACCACTGTGCCACTAGGGAAGTCCTCTAATATCTATCTTTATGTGCACACATTTCTCATAACTGGGAGTACAACTGCTCATGTGAAAATTAACGAAGAGAAACCTCGTTAAATTGGAGTCAGGAGGACATCCCTGGCAGTCCAGTGGGTAAGACTGCGCTCCCAATGCAGTGGGCCCAGTTTGATCCCTGGTCAGGGAACTATATCCCACATGCATGCTGCAGCTAAGAGCACGCATGTCACCATTAAAGATCCCATGTGCTGCAACTAAGACCCAGCGCAGCCAAAATAAGTAAGTAATACATTTAAAAAATAAAAATAAAATAAAATGGAGTCAGGAGGCCAGAAAGGAGAGCTGTCACACAGGTACCCCTCCATGTCAGATCCCATAAGGAAGAGATCTACCTTGCATCTCTGGCAGGAAGTGACACTACTTTACTACAGCCAGCAGGAGGAAGAAAGATTTTCTCCTGGCCTGGCAACAGCTCGGCCAATGAGAGACTGTCACAACTCAGCCAATGAAAAAGCCTCTATACTTAGAACATCTCCTTTCCTCCAATGGACTTTTTGTTTATAACAGTCCCTCCAAACATGCCCCCTCCTCTATAAAAGAATTCCCTCTCCTTTGCTTTAGAGGACTTGCATGTGGTTCACCATATTTTCATATCCCAAACTGCAATTCTTCACTGCTTCTGAATAACCTTGTCTTCCTAGAAAAATAACTGGCTGTTTTATTGTTTTAGATGAATACATGTCATGGTGTAGGTATATATTCAGCTCTAGTAGGTGCTGCCAAACAATTTTCCAATGTGATAGTACCATGTCGTCACTCCCACAGGTAAGAGAGCTCCAATTAATTGCACCTGTAGATGAAAATGCAAAAAAAGCCAAACTGAGGATTATAACCCGGGAAGCAGATTCTCACAAAGCTCTGAGAACTCTTCTGCCTTTTAGAAGTCAAAGGCACAGTCGTACACATTTTCTAGACAAAGCATTACACATCAGTGTAACATACTTATATTTTACATAAAGTTCCCCAAGGGTACCTAGTCCAGGTAAGAATGTACAAAGCAAGCAGCTACTCACCATGACCCCCTACAGAGCTGGGAAAGAACGCTATTTTTTAGAAAGTTACATTACCAGCATCAGAAGAAAAAAAATTGATCTTTCGGTTGAGCAGGCACTTTGGGGAGCTCTGGTTGCAGATACACACCCCACATTAGGGAGGTAGGAGGCCTAAAAAACCACAGAGACAATTTTATGTCTAATTTTTTCTTTTCCTGCCTCAAAATATAGATTTTATTTCATCATTTTCCCCCTTTTGATCATTAATATCCCGATAGAAAGCATTAGGTGATCAAATATTTGGCCTCTGATGCCATGGTGGTTGCTTACCTGCCCTGGATCCATCATGTCCTTTGCTGCCAGTCTTAACAGCCCAGTTCTTCCTTTCCTTTTAGGGGTTATGCTAGTAGAATGCTTCACAAGGACTGATAGTCAATTTTATCAGTCCGTTCCAATAGGACTTATGCCAATGTTACCCTGTATGTGCATTGTGCATGCCTTTTTATATAGAACAATAGATATGATCAATAGTTTCAAGTCATTTAGACATCATTATTTTCATTGGAGTTTTGAATATATATACATTGAGATGTACAAGAGATTATTACTCTATAAATGATATAGAACACAATCGCCAGAATCAATAACAGTAACAAAGTCAGAAGTGGAGATTTAAGCCATGAATGCCCCAAACTGAACCATTTACCAAAGATTTCATTTAGACTAGAAAGTGGGTTCTTCAATGTAGAAATTTTCATTTTGTATGAGAGTCATTAGGTGGTTATATTAGAGGACTCATCTGATATGAAAGTACAACATTGTCTGGATTCTAGCACACTTCCCCCCGCAAAGCAGTTTTAAAAATCAAGAGCTACTTGCTTTTGCAACATCACAGTCTCATCCCAGAAACTTCAGGATTGTATAAATTAATTGAGTGTAGTAAACTTGGAGCTATATGCTGATGGGGAAATTTTTGTAGGTTATAGGAACATCTGAAAAGTCAATGATGAGAATTATGAGGGGCTTCTATTGGCCTTATTGACCGAGGAATTTAATGAAAAATCCAACGATCAGTTAAATTGTCCCCAGTAGTAATACTTTGTGATAGCATTACTAAAGGGTTTTGGGGTAAAAACATGGCTAGAAATAAAAAAATAACCTTCAATTTTGATTTCAAGACAGACTTTTGGTAACAGTACATTTGAACTGGTAGGATGGGTCTTTTAGGCCTGGCCCAGACCCTTGGGTCAGCTGTTTGCTATTGCTGTTGTCATCTTCTCTTCCTAACTTGGTGACGCCTGTCTTAGTTGAAGTCAGGTGCTAGAAACAGCCATCAAAGTCCATTCAGGTGGAGAATGAGAGATGTGAATCCTTGAATTAATGTCTCTCAGTTTGGCTGTGCATGGATTAGTTAATCATATCTGAAAAGTTTCTTTCCATCGTGGCTGCAAAAAATCTTTTATTTGATGTCCTTTCCAATAAGCAAAATCCCTGGGTTATAATCCATGATCTTTTCCACCTCCTGGGAGCTCTTTGTAAAAGTAGATCCCAATTTTGTTTTTAAGATTTATTTATTATTTATTTATTTTATTTATTATTTTTTATGTATTTTTGGCTGCATTGGGTTTTAGTTGCGGCACACAGGATCTTCATTGAGGCATGTGGGATCTTTCGCTGCAGCACGCGGGCTCTTTTTTGCAGTGCGCGGTTTCTCTCTAGTTGTGGCATGCAGGTTTTCTCTTCTCTAGTTGTGGTGCGCAGGCTCCTGGGTGTGTGGGCTCTGTACTTTGCGGCTCGCGGGCTCTAGTTGAGGTGCGTGAGCTCAATAGTTGTGGCACACGGGCTTAGCTGCCCTGCGGCATGTGGGATCTTAGTTCCCCAACCAGGGATCACACCTGTGTTCCCTGCATTGTAAGGCAGATTCTTTACCACTGAACCACCAGAGAAGTCCCCCAATTTTTTTTAAGTATGTCAATAAGGCCTGCCAATAATGTAATATGTTTCCTTTGAACCATCATGGGTGAAAGTTTCCAAAATATTGTTTTCCCCATAAAACCGTTTTCTCAGATGCCCAATGGGGTAAAGAATGTACATGCTGGAGTATTGGCAAATTGGGCTTCAATAGACACTGTAAGTTTTGTTTTGTTTTGTTTTGTCATATCTAAACCATATTTGTGTGGTGGGATCAAAATACCTCCTTTTTGTTGCTGTATCTGTTTCTCTTCATTAGTGGTGATTTCTTGAACCTGTAGAAAGAAATCTTTTACTGGATTAGCAGGGTTAATGGAGAAGAGTGGACATTTTCAAGGCTGGACAGGATGAATGTTTAAAGCTAACTGTTTGGCTGCAGCATCAACAAACTGATTCCTTTTAGCTTCCATGGTGTCCGATTTGGAATGCCCTGGTGTTTTAATAATTGCTAACTGCTTTGGCAGTTATATAGCAATTAATAACTCGGCATCCTGTTTTCTATTTTTTTTATAGGTTGCCCTGAAGTTGTTAAAAAACCTAATTGTTTTCATGGCATTCCAAAGTTGTGTACCACTACAAAAGCATAGTAACCGTCAGCGTAAGTATTTGTTACCTGGTCTAATTGACATCCTAGAGCTAAGGCAATTAATTGGCCATGTTGTGCTGACTTTGTTTCTGGTAAATAAGAGCTTTCAGTTATGTCCACTGTGGGCGTTATTGTATATCCAGCTCGGTAATGTCCCTGCTCATCCTTTAAATACGACCCATCTGTAAATCTAATTACATCAGCATTATCAACAGGGACTTCTTGTACGTCATTCCTGGGAGCAAGAATAGAATCTGTTAACAAAATGCAATCATGATTTTTTTTTTCTTGCTGTGATGCTGGAAGCAAAGTTGCAAGATTAATGTTATTACATCAAACCAGGGTAATACTGGGAATTCCCAGGGAATGCCCTGGTTAGGACTTGGTGCTTTCACTGTCGGGCACCCAGGTTCGATCCCTGGTCAGGAACTAAAAGTCTGTCACGGCGCAGCCAAAAAAAAAAAAGAAAAGAAAAGAAAAAGGAAAACCAGGGTAGTATTAGGTGCAGAAAGCAACAATACTTCATAAGAAGTTAGTTGCCTTATAGAATTGCACTGAGAGTTTAGAAGAGACTCAACTGATGGTGAGACAGTTAAAGGAGACCCTATTACCACTTCCTCAGAAGCCTTCCATAAAAGTCATTCCTGGGACTTCCCTGGTGGCGCAGTTGTTAAGAATCCGCCTGACAATGCAGGGGACACGGGTTCCATCCCTGGTCCGGGAAGATCCCACATACCGCAGAGCAACTAAGCCGGAGCTCCACAACTACTGAAACCCACCCGTGTAGAGCCGTGCTCCACAAGAGAAGCCACCACAATGAGAAGCACACGCACCGCAACGAAGAGTAGCCTCCACTCGCGGCAGCTAGAGAAATCCTGCGCGTAGCAATGGAAGACCCAACGCAGCCAAAATTAAATAAATAAAAATAAATAAGAGAGTCATTTCTGAAATAACCATCATACAAAGTGAAAGTCCCTTTGCTACCAAGTCTAATTTTAAGATAATAACTAGAATTATGACTGACCACATGACAGGATATTTCAAATTTTAGGAACTTCATATAATCTCTAGAACATTTCTATTGATAAATGTCCGACAACGTCTTCTGTGTGGCATTCGGTTCCATATTAACCCCTCAGTCCAAATACAGTCCGATGGAGGGGGTATCTAGAGAATACGGCGGGGTGGGGGTGGGTGGGAAGGGCTGGCTTGTAAATTGGTGCAAGGTGAAGGGAGAAGGGGGCACGACAGTGAGAAGGGAGGGGCAGGCAGAGACTGGGGAGACAGGTAAGGTGGGGCAGGGGGAGGGGCAGGGGTGTGGTTGGTGCTGGGTATTAGGGAGGGGCAGGCCTATAAAAAGGACAGACTTAGAGATGGGGACACATGAAATAAGGTGAAGGCCAGCCTTCCAGGAGCACTGACCACTGGCCGAGATGCAGGGTAGGACCCCAAGGGGTCAGTGAGGCCACAGAGGGGGTTGGCTGCAGGGGGCCGCAGTGGTCCGCCGGCAAGGACGGGTTGGGAGTCTGGGGACTGGAGGATGGGGCTGGGGGTGGTGAGGTTGGGGAGGCAGCTGACGGGCTTTGGGGGGGTGACAGTCTTGGGGTGTGGCTGGCAGGGGCGGGGCTGTCATGGCTGCAGGTCCCTGACGTTTTGACACTGGCTCTCCCACAGTGGCAGCCGAGGCTGGTGAGGAGACCATGGGTGCCTCGGCTTCCAGGAACTGGCTAGTCGGTGTTTCCGCGCTGGATCCTGAACCCGAGGAGCCGCTGGGTCTGGGCCAGCTGCCCACGGAGCTGCTCGAGATGGTGCTGAGCCACGTGCCCCCTCACGTGCTGCTCGGGCGCTGCCGCCGGGTGTGCTGGCGCTGGCGCGACCTGGTGGACTGCCAGGCCCTGTGGCTGAGCATCCTGTCCCGAGACCACGCCGCCCTGTCACCCGTCCTCCGCACCTGCCTGCCGGCCGCCGACGACCCCAGGCCCTGCGTCCTGGGCCGCTTCTGCGAGCGCAGACCCATAGGACGCAACCTTCTCCAGAACCCCAGGGGCCTAGGTGGGGAGCCCAGGAAAGGGGTCCTCCTCAAGGGAGCCGGTGGGAGGGGCCGGATGCGGGGGGCGCTTGGACTCCGTGGGTGGGGTGGAACCGGATCCCAAGGGAGGAGCGGGACGTGCAGGTCCCCACGGGAAACCCCAGGGGACTTATCCCTGGGCGGGTGGGATGGCAAAGAACTTGGGGAAAACCCGTTTTCATTTAACAGAAGGTTTCCTGAAATGGACGGTGCTGAGCAGTGAAGACGGCTGGGCGGCGGAGGAGGAAAACTTGGAGGTCATACCTAGTGCCTATATGCTGACCAGCTTCCTGTCTGCCTGCAGGTGAATGTCCCTCTTCCCCAAGGGCGGTTGTTGAGGACTTGCCTGGTCCTCACTGACCTTTCTCCCTCTTTCCTAGGGGTTATCACAAGAAGCAAGTGTTGGACCTGGAGAAGGAGGGTTTCTGGCGGGAACTTCTGGACAGTGGAAAGATTGAGATTTGTGTCTCTGACTGGTGAGTGTGATGATAAAAACAGCCCTTTATTTATTTATTTAGTTATTTATTTATGGCTGCTTTGGGTCTTCGTTGCTGTGCATGGGTATTTCTCTAGTTGTGGAGAGCAGGGGTTACTCTTCGGTGTGGTTCGCTGGCTTCTCTTGTTGCGGAGCATGGGGTCTAGGCTCACTGGCTTCAGTAGTTGTGGCGCACGGGCTTAGTTGCTCCGTGGCATGTGGGATCTTCCCCGACCAGGAATTGAACCCATGTCCCCTGTATTGGCAGGTGGATTCTTAACCACTGCGCCACCAGGGAAGTCCCTGGGTGACTTTATTTAGGCCTCCTAACAGCCCCTTAGGATAAAGCAGGTAGGGAAGTGAGACTTAACCACCATGATAGCTTTAGTACTTAGCAGAGTACATTCCCTGAACCCATCCCCTAACCCCCAAAAGGACCCAAATGGGATGATGCCAGTTTGGATCCTATACAGAGGACTTGGGCCCAATTCGGTCTTGTCTGTGAATGAGATGCTCCTTGGTTTAGGAGGAGACAAGGTAGGAGACTTGGCTAAATGTCAGATTCTGGAGCTAGAACCTCTTAGGTTCAAACCCTGGCTTCCCAGCTTTGTGGCCTTGGGCAAGTCACAGTGTGCCTCAGTTTCCCTATCTTTATAAGATAGGGTTATATGTCAAACACAAAGCCAGTGCTTTGAAGTTTGAGGTGTTTTCGTACCCTTCATGGTCCTTGATCCTGTGGGAAAATTATTTTTGAAACCTCAAACTGGGAAGTTCGGAATGGGGAGGTGATTTTTCCCTGGTGGCACAGCTAAGACTTGGCAGGGCCTGGCATTAGACTCATACTTGTCTGACTCTTGTGCTCTGTAGTGATGGTCTTGAAACTGCGGTCCATGAGCACCTTCCAGGGGATACAGGACACAGATGATTTTAAGCAAGGCAAAATCCAAGTCCTCTACAGTTTTATGTTCCTTGTTCTAAAACAACTCACTACAGTTCACATCGAGAGTGGGAGCATCATATAGTTATCCTTTCCCAATTCCTATCTCACAGTCCCCCAGTTTTACAGAAACTGAAAGCCCCTCACTGTATTGCGTGGTCCTCAGATGTAAAGACTACTTGAGAGACAGGAAAAGTGACCATTTAAAATTTTGGCCTTACCACATTCACTTTCAATCAAGGCACCGTAAAATTCCTCCCTCTGCAAATCCATATCTTTAGGAGGCGTATTTCCAATCAACTTTTGTTTTTAATTTAATCCTCTATCAAACTATTGTAGCATGGTTGTGTGGCTTTGAGCAATGGTGTACCAGTTGATTGTAATAATCAGTGACTCCCCAGTTTTGTCGTACATCACCCAAAATATCTATAACTCCCAATGTCTGGGATATACCAATGAAATAGACTGTCTAGGCTGAGAGAGCCAGGCATCAACATCTGTGAGAAGTTTAGAGCCAACTAGGAAGTTAAAGGGCACAATGTCAAGACCACCTTCCAACTGCCAGTTTGGGGGATTCCCAAAATCACCCTCAGGCTCAGTAATTGACTAGAAAGACAGACAGAACTGAATGGAAACTATTATCCAATTAGTTTATTACATGGAATATATACAGATTAAAGTTAGCCAAGGGGAAGATCCCAGGCAGCATCCAGGGGATACCAGATTTCCATTGCCCTCTCCCCATGGGATCAGGACACCTGACTGTCCTGGCCTCCATGGGTGACAGTACCCATGGAATATTGCCAGCCAGGGAAGCTCACCTGAGTTTATAGGGGCTTTATCCTGTGTTTCACCTCAGCCTCCAGGTCAACTGATATTGCGTGAGGCACCCTAAGTCACATTGTTCGTCTTCCTGCGGTGCTTTGCTCCCATTATAGACTATCTATGTGGATGTGGCCAGCCCCCGCCAAATCATACTGGCAGGCTATTCAATGTGACTCAAGGGCCCCAGGTGAGCAAAGATACTCCTGTCAGACACAACAGTCCAAGGGTCCAGGGATTCCCTCCCAGTAGTGGCCAGCAAAGACCTTACCTTTGGACAGGTCTAAATGCTTTTCTATAAGGTATCATTTCAAGATTCCAGATGATTCCAATCTGCACCAATGTCTGGGAATCACTAGTAGGAAATAATTTAATCCAAAAGAAAAAATGTTAATGCTTAGAGTTTTATGGTCACAGGAAAAATTTTACATTTCTAATTATATTCTTTGTGTGTGTGTATGTGTGTGTGTGTGTGTGTGTGTGTGTGTGTGGTTGGCACAAACAGTATGAAAGGTAAGTCAGAAGAATTTTAAAATATATTAGTACTACATTAGGACAAAATTCTGTGGGAGAAGTTGAATGGACCTCTAAGTCCAAGTAGTGGAGTGATGTGAAATCTCTGTAAAAGGAGATACTTACTTGTTTGTGTATTTATACCACCTATTACTCTTGTTTTTAAATTTTTAATTTCTAACATCAAAAATTGGGCTTCCCGGGCTTCCTTGGTGGTGCAGTGGTTGAGAGTCCGCCTGCCGATGCAGGGGACGCAGGTTCGTGCCCCGGTTTGGGAAGATCCCACATGCCGCGGAGTGGCTGGGCCCGTGAGCCATGGCCGCTGAGCCTGCGCGTCCGGAGCCTGTGCTCCACAACGGGAGAGGCCACGACAGTGAGAGGTCCGCGTACCGCAAAAAAAAAAAAAAAAAAAAGCACATGTCTTGGCTGTGCAACTCAGTGAATTATTATGAAGTGAATACATTCACTAAATCAAGAACAGAATGTTGCCAGCAAACCCCACCCTCAGCATCCCTCATGCACCATGCCCCATCACTTTCAACCCAAGGGTAGCACCATCCTGAATTCTGTTACCATAGATAAGTCTTGTCCATTTTGGTACTTAATACATATTGAGTCATATAGTTTGTATCTAGCTTCTTTCAATCAATAACACATTTGTAAATTCATCCATAGTTGTATGTAGCTGCAGTTAGTTTACTTTCGTGGCTTTATAATATTCCATTACATGAATATACCATAATCTATCCATTTACCATTGAAGGACATTGCATGTTGTGTCTTTGAATATTGCTGGATATCCCATCACCAATTTATCTAGATTCCTCCGGATCCTTGTAAATGGCTGATAAGAAAATTGTATCTTAAAACATCACCGTTGTACACATCGGAAATGACATCTTTTGCCACCAGTGAAATATAGAATGAGAAATAATATGGGAGGAGGTACCCTGAAGAGCACGGCTTTAGGTCATTACTTCTGAAATGAATGTGCATGCGGACCAGCTGGGGAGAGAGTTTAGTGCAGATGGATTCACTGGGTATGCAGAGGGGCCAAACTCCTAAGTGACACTAATGGTGCCAGTCCCGGGGATCACAAAACTATTTTGTACATGGGAAGGCCATTCAGGTGAAGCAGGCAGACCCCCAAAGAGATAGGACGGCAAGTCCAGCCTTCAAGGTCTCCCTTCTCCCACAGGCGGAATGACCAACAAGGAACTGACTGTATATATCAGCTGACTGTCCAACTTCTAGATGCCGACCAGGCCATCCTGGATCACTTCTCTCCGTTGCCTTTTCCCATCTGGAAGTGGAGAAACAGCGTCTCTCCTCGGGTGAGTCTCTGGGGTGTGGGAAAGGACAGTGGGGCTTATGAGAAGCTATGGCTGCGTAAAAAATTGCCCTCAAATATAGTGGCTTAATAGCGTCGGCAGTCATTTTCTCACCTCTCGTGGTTTCTGTGAGTAGAGCTCTGCTGGGTGCTTCTGGCTCCGTTCTCTCATGTAGTGGCCTTCAGGCACTGGCTGGGGCCGAAGGGCAGGGCAGGATGTGAGTGTGTATACAGCTGGTGGCCGGCCAAGTATCTCTTGGTTTAGTCTCAGAGCTTGGCCATGGGATCTCTCTGCTTGGTCTAGTTCGGGCTTCCTCGCAGCATTGCAGCTTTAGGGCAGTCAGCTGCTTCTTGGTGGCTCAAGCCTCCACCATGAGGCTTCTGGAGAAACCAGCAGAAGCTGCATTGCCTTTCTGACCCAGCCTTGGAAGTCACTTAGCAAAAGTCACTCAGCGTCATTTCCACCACACTCTTGGTTACAAGGAAACCTGCCCAGATTCAAGGGAACAGGAATTAGATTCTATCCTTGGATAAGGAGTGGCATGATTCTAGAAGTACCTGTGGAGACATTGTCACAGCCATCTATGGAAAATACCACCTGCCTGAGGACCCCAACTCAGCTTCTGAGAGGAAACCTATGTCACAATGAGGCTTACCCCTTTTCCTTCCTACAGGTCAGCCACGTGTTCTCCAACCTCAAGAAGGGCGTTCGCTTTGTGTCTTTTGAATGCTGCATCTGGGACTTGGAGTTCAGAAATGAGCAGTATGGAATCTCTGTGACGAATTCCAGTGTTATCGTGCAGGTCTGTCTGTCCTAGTCAAGGGCTGTCCTTGAAAACTACCTGACCGTGCCTCCGGGGAGCTGGGCCCATTGGCTGGGCCATCTCAGTAATCAAGGGCTTGTAGCTCCCTGGCATCCTGGGATCTCCTGGATCTGGTCAAAGTTCCTACTGGGCCCTGTCTTCAGATTCTGGAAACTACTATAAGAAAGTTCCTCCATCAGATTTACTGGCTGCTCCTGCTCTAAGGCAGCCCCTGTTTTACTGAGTGGATACGCAGTGATCAGCACAGGGAAACACTGGATTGTGAGAGGGCTTCTCACCCTCCACCCACACCAGGCTCTCTGTTTCAGCTCCAGAGCCCTCTACCCTTGTCTCCTAGAAGCTCATCCCTATGGCGGAGAAAATTCCAGCCCCCACGGGTGGTGAACTTAACCCCATGGCGTTTCAAGACTGGGATCAGGACTCAGAGCTGAAAGTCAAACTACCTCAAAAAAATGTATGGAGACAGAGGGTTCTTCCCACCCTGTGAACAATCAAGTGGTCCCCTGAGTCCAGCCTTACCCTGAATTGTATGGTGTATAAAATTATTTTGTTATTTTGAAATTCTTTTCAAACATGGAAAGAATAAATCAGAAATATATCTGCCAATCATAGGTAATAAAGGTATTATTTTGCCAATAGTGTCTCATGTCTTTTTTTTTTTTTTTTTTTTTTTTTGCGGTATGCGGGCCTGTCACTGTTGTGGCCTCTCCCGTTGCGGAGCACAGGCTCCGGATGCGCAGGCTCAGCGGCCGTGGCTCACGGGCCCAGCCGCTTCGAGGCATGTGGGATCTTCCCAGACCGGGGCATGAACCCGTGTCCCCTGCATCGGCAGGCGGACTCTCAACCACTGCACAACCAGGGAAGCCCTCTCATGTCTTTTTAATAGAAATACATACAATGTTTCTGCATTGGTGACTACTTGGTTCACAGTAAGGATTTGTCCCAGTTGAGGAGGGAAAATTGTACAGAAGAAAACACCTATAGAAGGTATTCTCCATTTGAGAGCGTGGAAGTGTTAGCACCCCATTTCCCAAGCCCTAAGGAAATCATGGAGTCAAAGATTATCAATCAGGGTTAAAAGCATTAGGCAGGTGGTGGATGTGGGTACAGTGTCACAGTGACACCACGTTTGTGACATTCTAGTCATGATGAGGGTGAGAGAGGACCATGCAATGGCAGGATCTGGCTGTCCTCACCCCAGTCCAGGGGTCGTGGCTAGCCTCACTGCTGCAGGATCCCTAAGGAGTTCCAGTCTCCTGATGTAAAGCAGACGAAGCCTGCTGCTGCCTTTGATGTAACTACCCTGAACTGCCCCACCCACCTGCAGTATCAGCATGGGACACACCCACTGAGGACAGTGTTTTGCCAGTATCATCAAAAGGGGATTGTGGGGCTTCCCTGATGGCACAGTGATTAAGAATCCGCTTGCTAATGCAGGGGACACGGGTTCGAGCCCTGGTCCAGGACGATCCCACATGACGTGGAGCAACTAAGTCCCTGCGCCACAACTACTGAGCCTGCGCTCTAGGGCCACGAGCCACAACTACTGAGCCTGTGTGCCTACAGCCCGTGCTCCGCAACAAGAGAAGCCACTGCAATGAGAAGCCCATGCACCACAACGAAGAGTAGCCCCCACTCGCCGCAACTAGAGAAAGCCCACGCACTGCAACGAAGACCCAATGCAGCCAAAAATAAATAAATAAAAAATTTTTAAAAAAAAGCAAGAAAGGGAAAATGGATATGAGGAAACTGATGAAGTTAGCAGTCTCTGTCATGGACCATGTAAGATTAACTACTTGATGTCCTCCAATGTCCATCCTGCCCTTGATATCTCTGATCACAAGGCTTCCTAAAATAAAAACTATATTTCCCAGCTTCCCTTGCAGCCAAGTGAGGCCATGTGACTAAGTCCCAGCTGGTGGAATGTAGGGAAAGTGATGTTCGCAACTTCTAAGATATGACTTTAGGGTGGGGGGCAGCATGCCCTTTCTACACCTTCTTCAGCATTCCTGCTTCTCAGAAGGTGGATGTGATGGCTGTAGTTACACTGTGGGCCATGAGGACAAGAGCCGCATCCTAATTAATGTTGGCAGAATGAGAAGCCAGACGCAGCTTAGATCCTAGAGCCACCATGCCCAACCTGCACAGCCTACTCCTGAATTTTCTCTTAGAGAGAAATAAACTTATATCTTTTTTTAAAACATCTTTACTTGAGTATAATTGCTTTACAATGGTGTGTTAGTTTCTGCTTTATAACAAAGTGAATCAGTTATACATATACATATGTTCCCATATCTCTTCCCTTTTGCATCTCCCTCCCTCCTACCCTCCCTATCCCACCCTTCTAGGTGGTCACAAATCACCGAGCTGATCTCCCTGTGCTATGCGGCTGCTTCCCACTAGCTATCTATTTTACGTTTGGTAGTGTATGTATGTCCATGCCACTCTCTCACTTTGTCACAGCTTACCCTTCCCCCTCCCCATGTCCTCAAGTCCATTCTCTAGTAGGTCTGTGTCTTTATTCCCGTCTTGCCCCTAGGTTCTTCATGACCTTTTTTTTTTTCCCTTAGTTTCCATATATATGTTTCAGCATACGGTATTTGTTTTTCTCTTTCTGACTTACTTCACTCTGTATGACAGTCTCTAGGTCCATCCACCTTACTACAAATAACTCAATTTCATTTCTTTTTATGGCTGAGTAATATTCCATTGTATATATGTGCCGCATCTTCTTTATCTATTCATCTGTCGATGGACACTTAGGTTGCTTCCATGTCCTGTATTATAAATAGAGCTGCAATGAACATTGTGGTACATGACTCTTTGAATTATGGTTTTCTCAGGGTATATGCCCAGTAGTGGGATTGCTGTGTCGTATGGTAGCTCTATTTTTAGCTTTTTAAGGAACCTCCATACTGTTCTCCATAGTGGCTGTATCAATTTACATTCCCATCAACAGTGCAAGAGGGTTCCCTTTTCTCCACACCCTCTGCAGCATTTATAGTTTGTAGATTTTTTGATGATGGCCATTCTGACCTGTGTGAGATGATACCTCATTGTAGTTTTGATTTGCATTTCTCTAATGATTAATGATGTTGAGCATTCTTTCATGTGTCTGTTGGCAATCTGTATATCTTCTTTGGAGAAATGTCTATTTAGGCCTTCCGCCCATTTTTGGATTGGGTTGTTTGTTTTTTTGATATTGAACTGCATGAGCTGCTTGTAAATTTTGGAGATTAATCCTTTGTCAGTTGCTTCATTTGCAAATATTTTCTCCCATTCTGAGGGTTGTCTTTTTGTCTTGTTTATGGTTTCCTTTGCTGTGCAAAAGCTTTTAAGTTTCATTAGGTCCCATTTGAAAATAAACTTATATCTTGTTTAAGTTACTATGATTTCGAGTGTCTATTTTACACAGCCAAACCCAAATTCTAATGAACACAGAGAATGTCACAGTTTCATATTCATCTTTTGCAACTGGCTCTTTTCACTCAACATCACATTTCTTACATGTATCCATATGGATTTGCGTATATCTAATTCATTAAAAATTGTTTTTACATGGTTCCTTCAGGAGTTGTTTCCCTGAGACTCTTTATTTTATTGTGGTAAAATAAACATAGCATGAACCATTTTTAAGCCTACAATTCTGTGGCATTAGGTACATTCACCATGTTGTACAACCACCACTATCCATTCCAGAACTTTTTTATCATCTCAAATAGATATTTTGTACCCACTAAACAATAACTCCCCATTCTTCCTCCCCACCCCCAGCCCCTGGTAACCTCTATCCTACTTTCTGTCTCTGTAAAATTGCCTATTCCAGGCACTTCATAAAAGTGGAATCTTACAATATTTGTCCTTTTGTGCCTGGTCTAATTCATTCATCTCAACTACCCTGTGACATAGCATCTGTCTCCTTGTTGAGTCATCTTTGTCATCCTTTAATGAAGTCTCATAATTTACTCCAAAATGAACTTGAACATCTTTTCTTGGCATTTGGGCTATGCACCTTACTTTTTGTTGTATAAGAGAAGGGAATCTTTTCTAAGAATTATATTTTCTAATTGGTCATTGCTATTATTAGAGGAGTCTTAATGATATTTTTGTATGTTGATCTTTAATCCAGCAGACTGGCTGAAATTTCGTTTTTGTTTTTTACAGGGAAGTTTTCTAATTAACTTGGATGTTTTGAAGGTTTCCAGTGGGGTCCTTATATCACGCTGATGCTTCCCTTTTATCTCTAGTTGGTCACAAAGGTTTTGTTATAAATGAGTGTGGAACTCCATCGAATGTTTCATCTCCCTTAATTTGATAATATGGTGTGTCACATTAGTAGATTAAAAAAATTTTTTTTGATGTGAAATTGTCATAGGTAGGAAAGTGGACTGGTTGCTATGATATGCCACCCAAATACCCTCTTCAGGATGGAGGAATTGTTTCCACCAGCTGTCAGGAGTGTTGGCAGCTGATGGCTTAGAGCTGAGCATCTGTCTGGTCAATGCCCTCAGCTGGAGAAAACCATCTTGCTTAAGCTTATGTCCCTTTCCTAGGGGCAGCCCATATTCCATGTCTGGTCAATGAGGGGACAAAAGCCTGGCTCCAGGGACTTCCCTGGTGGCCCAGTGGGTAAGATTCCGCGCTCTCAATGCAGGGGGCCCGGGTTCGATCCCTGGTCAGGGAACTAGATCCCACATGCCGCAACTAAACACGCCACAACGAAGATCCTGCGCAGCCAAGAAAAATTAATTAATAAATTAAAAAAAAAAAAGCCTGGCTCCGTGCCTCAATTAGGGACAACCCAGAAGGCCAGCCCCCTCCAGTTTCCCTGTAGGATGGACGGAGGCCCTGCTGCAACCACGTCAGCTTCTCCCTGTGCCTTTCCTGCCTCCTCTCTTCCTTATAAATGTTGCCCCAGAGAGCTCTTCCCAGAAACCAGCAGTTTGGGCTTCAAACCTCTACCTCAAAGTCTGTTTCCTAGGAAACCCTAGGTG